CCAATCCCTGCAGCTCCACCACTTCTCTCTCCAGAGCTCTCAGAGATCTAGCCATGTCCTTTGTGACATTGAAAGTGTACTGCAGGCAAAGCTGCTTGATCTTCACTTTACCTACATCCCACCACTGCTGAAGAGAATTGTACTCACTCTTAGATAACCGGTAGTTTTCCCAAAATAATTTAAAAACATTTTTAAAATGGTTGTCGGCCAACAGAGAAGCATTAAAGTGCCAATACGCACTATTACACTTAACATGATTAATAAAAACTGAGACTTGTACGAGGGAATGGTCAGAGATTCCCACTGGACTGATGGAGCAGCTTCTGCTTACATTAATGTGATGGTTAAAAACATAGACACGATCCAGCCTAGCCAGAGACAACAGGTTATCCCTAGAGTGCACCCACGTGTACTGCCGCTGGCCCGGGTGGAAGTGCCTCCAAACATCACACAGCTCAAAGCTTTCTGTTAGTCTTATTAAGGCACTCTTCGAGGCAGCATGCGGTTCCTGGTGGTTCCTATCCAGCACAGGGTTCTCTGTGCAGTTGAAGTCACCCCCCAGGAACAGATACTCCCCACTATCACAGGTGCTAAGAGTGTGTTTCAGTTTCTCAAAAAACAAAAGCCTCTCTGCGCCCACACTGGGAGCATAAATATTTATAAAACATATTTTAACTTTTTCAAATTCAGCATTTATTTTGAGCAAGTGTCCTGGGATGACCTCATCGACCGTACAGGAGAAGGGTGTAAAGCCCCTCGCAAAGAGAATGGCAACCCCTCCACTATTGCTGCGCTTATGGCTGAAGAAGCCCTCCCCCGCCCATTCCCTCCTCCAGTCACTCTCGTTCTCAGCAGTGCTGTGAGTTTCCTGGAGAAACGTCACATTTAAACTCTTGTTTCCTAATAAAGTAAATAAAGATGCTCTCTTAGCATCCCCTCTAGCACCGTTAATGTTTAAAGAGCCCAGTTTTATGTCACTCATAATGAAATTATAGTTGCATCCTAACAAAATCAAAAAACTGGCTGAAGAAAAATAAAAAATAAAACCAAGATGTACTTATTCATCATTCTTTGCAGTTTCCCCTCTAATCCTCTGAAGTATCTTCTTTAACCGAGCCTTCTCTGGGCCGCTGAAGAAAGGTTCCCCTAAGGCTTCTTTGCGCCGCATGAGAACCCTGGCAGTATTGTGAAAGATCTGCAAATCTGCAAAAAAGTCATCTAATTTCACCCCCCTCCACCCCTTAGTTTCCGCCAGAAAGGATCTGATCCTCTGGAAAGAATACTCCTCTCCCTTTGCTACCTCAACGATGTCAAAGAATGACTCGCTGTCACTGTCCTCTGAGTCCTCTGAGACTCCCTCTGGCTGAGAGGAGGAACACAGCGACTCCCTCTTTGACACCTTCCCTTTCTGAGCCACACTTCCTTTGCTCACTTGTTTGTTTTTCCTTTTAACAGGTAACCTTAACAAATCCTCATCCATTACCACATCCTCCAGAACAGACTCAGCCACTCTGGCTGCAGTGTGCTCACTATCTGCTTTCTGTGTGACCTGAGTGTCTGTGTGTGTGATACTGTGTGTACCGGCTGCCTGTGTGCTTTCTACGCGTGAAACCGTTGGCTCTGCCACGGACCGACTGACCTGCGGTTCCACCACCGGCGTTTCCGCCGCGGGCGTGGGCCCGGCCGTGGACAAAACAACCGGCAGCGGCTCCGCAGCTGGCGCGGGCCCGACCGTGGACAACGCACCCGACAGCGGCTCTGCAGCTGGCGCGGACCCCAGCACCGGCGGCCCGGCCGTGGACAAAGGGACCTGCAGCGGCTCCGCCGCGGGCGCGGACCCCTGCACCGGCGGCCCGGCCGTGGACAAGGCAACCAGTAGCGGCTCCGCCACGGGCACCGTCGGGCCGGCTGCGAGCGCGGACACCACGGGTGCGTCACCCGCCCTCTCCGGGCACGCGCGAATCAGGTGTCCTGCCGCTCCACAACCATAACATTTCAAAATGTCAGACGTAACATGGACAGTATACACAAAATCATCAATTTTAAACTTGAGAGCCAGATTAAGTTCCCCTTCATCCTTTTTCAGGACCATAAGCACCTGTCTCCTAAAAGACACCACGTGCTTGAGGTGCGGGATTTGCAGCCCAGGGGGATCAACTTAATGGGAGACGCAAGCTGGCCGTATCGAGCCAGCTCTCTCTCCAACAACTCGTTTCTCAGAAACGGGGGTACATTAGAGATGATGACTTTTTTAGCTGGAGTGACAAGGGGTAGCACGGGTAACAGCGTCCCTTTAATCACTAGCCCGCTCTCCACCAGCTGGTTAGCTTTCTCCGTGCAGTCTAAAAAAATAACTACTGCACTGTTCATGCGGGAGGCAGATTTAACTCTGCCATATCCCACCACAGCCCCCACAGCCAGACCACACTCCTCCACCGACACACCGACAGGTGGAGAGAGCTTGATGGCGTGTTGGCGAGTCAGCTTCTCTAACACAGCGCAGCTGCCACGGAACGCCATGCCGGGCGGCGTGACTGCAGCTGCAGCCGCTAGACAAACAATTAGACAAACAATTCACCAGTGCAACCAAACAACACCACCAAAAAACACCAAAGTCGGTGAAGTGATGCACAAAGACATAAACTATCACCCAGAGAAAAATGAATTGTTAACAATGGTTTGAAAAGTTGTAAAACTTTAAACGATCGCACTCCGCTATACTCACCGGTCCACTCACAATCATTTTATACAAAAATAAGAGAATAAATGAAAAACAGGTATGAAATACTATATGACAGTAAAACAAGAATAAAGTTTAAAAGGGGAGTGATTTGTAAAATATCCATAAAGAAAAAGTAAATCTGTTTATAGTTCTGTTTCATACGGGTGAGATGAATCCATAGATCTCTTCATGTTGCTCTCAAAGTGCACCAGATTGATGCATTTAACTTCAATATTTAAAAATAAATCTTTACAAACATCACATGCGAAATGCAAGACTTCTTTGTGGTCTTCAGCATCTACTTCAACGACGAATCTGCCCCTGCCCCCGCCTCGATGTAAGAGAGATGTAAGCGACGCCGCCTCTTAGCTCCGAAGCCCTCTAGACCAGTGGTTCACATTTGCAGGAACATTGTGTGTGTGGGGAGTGTTGCAGTAGAAAATTCCACTGTAGTGACCGGTACATTAATGGGAAACCCTAAATGTTTGAGCACCCTCTATGAAACGTCAAGCTACCCCACAGCCGCCACTGAATCTGACTTGTGTTGGGGGGGCCCGACTTTTTTTTTTCTCCAAAGGGGGGGCCTGACAGAAAAGGTTTGAGAACCACTGCTCTAGACTGACAATTTTTTGGAGCTGGAAGAGAACCGGATTCCGGAGCTAAGTGGCGGCGCCTCTGCGGTGTGAACAGGAAAAACCGCTACTTTTCAGGCTCCAGCTCCGAGCCGGAGCTGAAAACGCGTTGGTGTGAAAGGGCAGAGAGACACGAGGAGAGCTGGAGCTTTGAAGGCAAACACTGACGGTTTATTTGGAGCTTCGGCCGGAGAATTCACACAACATGTCACGGGCCACGAGTTGACCACACGGTTGAGATGCCACAATCAATTCTGAAGACCTCTACCCCAGACCCATGTATTTAGCTAGTTCTGAGAGAATAATCAACATTTTGCATAACAAGATAGAATCATAATAACACCTCTATCAGCTGACGCCAACAGGCAGGCACAGGGAGACAAAACACTGAGAGCACAGCAGCCAAGCTTACAGGTGCCTGTGCTCAGTCAGGACAGTATGAACTGATAAACTGCGTCAAAGTTATGGGCCTTGAAAAATATTTCCCCAACACTGTGTGATGGTATTAGTCATAAAGCATATGACTGGATATGATTGATATATGCATTTATTTATATTGACTGTTAGACATCCCAAATTACATGTTTACTATGGGTCATAATAGTCTTCATTAAAAAGAAGTATGAGCAATTAACAAAGATAATTTAAATTATATTTTTGTCCCTGCCATCAACAGTCTTCGTAAACACATTATTTTATCTCCTGTTTGACTAAAAGTTAAATACTCTGTCACAACTTAAATAAGACCCATTCTGTGTAATGCCAACAAGCGGGATTTCAACAGAGCAACATGTCCCTATAAAGTAAGTACAGCTTAAGCAAACAGGCTCTCATCACATGTTGTGTTCTTTGTCTCAATGAACCTCACCCTATTTTGCAACAGGACTAGAAGAATCAAAGCTTCTTCAGTGAGAGTACTGAACACAACATTAAATACAAAAATAAAGAAATGTAGAATGATCCATTATCACTAGAAAAAAGATGGGTCATTTATTCAACATAAGAAAATGTGTCTGTTTTTATGACAATGGTTAATGTTTGTAATATAAGTAAAAATAAGGATATTAATTAAACAAAACCCCTATGACCTTTCTATCAGGACCTCATGGTACATAGCAAAAATCTGTACCTTGTGATTCATAGCTTGAGATGTAGTTTACTTGCAATTTTCTTTCAAAAATGTGCTGAATTTCTGAGGACAAAATAAGCAAAAGCATTCGTCAAACATTTGGGGAGTGGAAGTTATGAGACAAACTAATACTAATACAAGCCAAAAGCTCGACAAGACATTTTTTAAAGAAGTTACTCACTATGTTTTCACAGTAGTTGATTGTTAGTTTTTTTTAAGAATCTGCTCGAGGGTAATACAAATATAATTTGTTCATTAAAGGTCAAGTGGCAAAGTAATAGTGACGGGGAAGGGAAGAGATGACATAGTATCTTTTTACATTGTTGTTAACATAAAACTTGTCCCTGCCTTTTGTGTGTGTAGTTGCACAACTAGGGAATACCCTCAGTGTGTTTGTTAGATTTTTCTTATCTCAAACTGGACCCCACATGGTCAGAAATGTCCATTATTGAGAAATCCTACCACCCAACTGAATATAAGTAGAGTCAAATGAGTACTACTATACAGTGGTAAGATACTCTACGATCTGATAAGACTTACTAGACACTCAACAGGAAAAGCAAAGTAAGTTTGACACATCTGAAAATATAAAGGTACATATGTATTTATTGGTTGAAGTAAATCAGACATAGGAACCTTTTTCTCCCACGAAAGTCCCTGCTCTCTAGCAGGGACGGAAAAGGGGGTGAAAAGGTTCTCATTAACTAATTTTAGTTCCGGCTCTTTTTGTTGTGAACGCAACATATCGGAACTAAAGTGGGAAAAGTACTGCGGTGTGAATGCGCCTATTGTAACATTTTCTTTTAGACAGCTGGAACCATGAAGTTGCTTATTGCAGGAATTGCTCTGTTCTTAATTGTGGAAACCAATGCAAGGTGGATCAACTTTCCTATAGAAGCCATTCAAGGTTAGAAACATTACTTTCTAAGATCTCTAAAAAAAACGATGTGAATAATTTTACACCATATATCTAGGATTTACAATTTGAAATGTCAATGACATGTTTTTTGTTTTTTTTATATCTGGATTCTTTCCTTTATTTGACTGTACCCGGTGGTCCTGACCAGGAGGTCATGATATGTGGCGGGCATACAGTGATATGAGGGAGGCGAACACAATAGGCGCAGACAAATACTTTCATGCCAGAGGAAACGCTGATGCTGCCAGCAGAGGAGAAGGAGGCAAATGGGCAGCTGAGGTGATCAGGTGAGGAGCAAAGTGTAGGAACACATCTTCTTATACAATGTTGGCTGTTTCTCTTAGTTTTTTTCTAAAAATGAAAACATTCTTGTTTGTAAAGCAGCAGATTGATCAAAGAGCAAATTTTTTCTCTACATTCTTATCTTATATATTATCTTTTACATTATTATTTATCGTTATATAAGGGAGGCTGTGGCTCAGTGAGTTTGTGCACTGATCTTCAGATCAGGAGACCACTGGTTCAATCCCCACTGCAGTCAGCAGGCCGCTGTGTCCCAGGCCAAGACACTTCACCGCAAATTGCTCCTGTGGATTGGCCACAGTATTGAGTGTATGTAATTCGCTTTGGATAAAAGTGTCTAACAAGTAACCTGTAAAGTCAAATCATTGAAAAAGTATTCAGTACCTCAGTGATCATTTTTCTAGCCATTCATAATTAATATGCCATCCCATTATTAAACGGCTTATTTCTGATGTTCTTTGCAGCTGACAACCAGATCTGTGTATCATTTGTACACTATCATATGCAATAAATAACTAATATTCGGGCCTACCTTAATGATGCTCGATCTCATTAACATATAGATGCATTTGCTAAACATTTTAGATCCAGTTTCTTCCCAAAAAGGGGCTCCGCTCTGCTTCCTGCAGCTTTTCACAGATCCAATCCAAATGTACAATTAAACCTACTGCAATTATACTTATTATTGCCTAAGACCATAAAACCTTTGTACACCTTGCTTGCTCAGACAACCACAGTCTTTTTTTTTACCGAACTTGTTTTATTAATCAGCTTCTTCTGATGTACATTGCCTCTGTTCCCATTTCAGTAATGGCAGAGAGTGGGTGCAGGAAAAAATGGGTCATGGTGCCGAAGACTCTGCTGCTGATCAGAGGGCAAATGAGCATGGACGCAACGGAGGAGATCCCAACGTTTTCAGGCCAGCAGGACTTCCTCCGTGTTCATCTGAAAGTCATGAGGATTAATAAAAGAACAAAATTATATTTTTTGTTTGGGAGTTATTGACAAAGACATAGTTTTTACACAACAAACATTAACATGTACGTACCCTGGATAGTGAAAAAACACCAAAATCATTAACCCTTATGTTGTGTTCGGGTCTCCCGTGACCCGTTTCAAGTTAAAATTATATTATAACTACCCTCTAGTTTTGATTATCGGAACAAGGCTTCATGATATCCTCCACAACAGCTATATAAACACTATAAACATATTGAGTGAATTTAATCACATTCTTTACTTAAGTATGTGGTGTGATGTGTTTTGGGGCCATAACATACAATTACAACACGATTGTACGGTTATGAATGCATAATAAGTTAGTTGTGATGTAGTTTAAACAATATTGGATGATAGTCATTATTTTGGAGTGTTTTGGACTGAGATAAATCGTGGGTCAATATTGACCAGCGAACACCATGAGCGGTAACAGTTTTTAAACACAACACAAGGGTTAAATGATTATTGGAACATAATTGTTGTTAGTTTTCTGTATAGCACCTGCACTAAAGGACAAACACCCTCCCTGCAGCCTGCTGGGATCTTATTCCCGCTGCTGGCAGAAGAAGCTAAATTGAGCTCTGGGGAGTAAACTCAATAGGGACGGAGCCTCCAGCAATGCTTCACACATTTTGAAATATAATAACTATCTGGAAATGTATGATTAAATCAATAACCAATCAATATTTGAGCATTTTTGACATTATTGCCATATTTTGACTTTTTTTATGTAAGAGAACAAATTATTATTTTTATTTTTTTTAAATAATGCTGCCGTTCAGAGGAATTAAGTCTGATTCTTTGGAATTTGTATGCCCCTCCATTACTGTCTCTCAGTTATATTTGTGCCTTGCTCACATTTGACTCATTGACACAATGAGCGACCGATTAGGAGATTTTCTGTCAGAGAGGCTCTGGAGAAATGTTTTGAACCAGATGAAGAGGAGATTGAACCAGACATAAAGGACGATGTCTCAGAAATGGAAGACAACAGCGATCCAGACTATGAGTCTGACCAACAGTCAACAGACCAGGAAGAGGCCCCCGAGGGAGAGGCCCCTGAGGGAGAGGCCCCTTCTCTACATTTTCATTGAGGAAAATAGTATCAGTGTTTTATTTTATATTCATGCACTGCACAGTGAATGCTGAACTTGATGGGCCCACCGGTGGGTCCGGACCATATACTGTAGTTGAAAGTACACAATGGAACACTGACTTGCTTGTATCAAATCAATACATCCCATACATCATTTGGAACGGGAAGAATCTCAGCTACGACACCAACTAAAACATTTCCATCTCCAGTAAACACAGCCTACATGGCAAGCATTTTTTATAATATAATACAGTATTGTACAGTAAGCACTATCTTTGAATTTACTGCAACATTATAACGTGAAATTCACCCCTGGTGTCATTCTGTCTGTCACCCCTTGATTCTACTTGCTTTGACTGTTCAAATGAGATGTCAACCATCAAAATTGGATAAGGGGTTCCAGAGATATCACTGCAAAAACACACCGGTCAATTTTGGGCAGGGGGGTATGACCTAACGCAAGAGAAGGGTTAATCCCATTCTATCTATGGTCGTGATTCGTTTTTCATTCAGCTGTAATGTTGAATGATGGCCACTGGGGAGCAGTGCTGCGCTGGTTCCCTGACATTTTAGGCTGAGATGCTTAGAGGTTATCTTTGATCCAATGATAATACATTGTATTTCTCTGTTTCTATATCTCAGCCTTGATAACACAGTAGGCCTATAGCCATATGTAAATTAAGTTCCTAAATGAAACAAATGAATGGCATAAAACAGGTGACTCTGGATAATCAAAAAACCCTTTGAGTGAATATCCTTTATCATTCTTGATCATTTTGAAAAACTGTACTGATTTTAATATTCCTAATCTTTAGAAAATGTCATAGGCACTCACACCCAGTGTTGGGACCAACACGTAACAAAGTAACGCGTTACTGTAACGCCATTATTTTTGTTAGTAACTAGTACTCTAACGCATGACTTTTTTAATTCAGTAACTCAGTTGCCGTTACTATATGGTGCGTTACTCCGTTAGTTTTTTTATATAGTCAACAGCCAGGCGAACAGAGATGAGTGAGTAAATGTACTTAGATACTTCCTGTGTCACATGCGGAGACGCGCTGTGGGCGTGTTTGTGTTGTTTACTAACAAGACTATCATGGCGGCGGCGGAGCTCAAGTCTAGTTTCTCCACCTGGAGATATTCTCACTATTTCACTTTTGTCGAGCACAAAGAAAAGAACGTTTTAGTTAAATGTAAGTTGTGTCTTGGCGGGTCAAAGATCCTATCTACTGCCCAAACCAGTAATTCAAATTTCTTAAAACAAATGCAAAAACAACATGCTGGGACGAAGCTAGTAGCTAAGACCACAGAGACTCAGCCGACGCCACTCCACCTCCACCTAAGCAACAGCGGCTGGATTTTAACCAAGGGACTGCTGGCCAGGGAAAAGTCGATAGAGCCATTGCACGGTATGTTGTAGAACACATGCAGGCTATCGCTACAGTGGAGTCACCCGCTTTCAGGGAGCTAGTTAGCATGATAGCATGTCCGGGCGGCACACGGCATATGGGACGGAAAACTTTTTCCAACTACCTGGAGAAAGAATATACAAAAATGGAAAGCCAGCTAATATCGATGCAATCCAGATTGCATATAATGCATGTCAAGTTGATCAACAGATTGTATTATTCTCCAATGCAATAACAGTACTGAAAGGAAGGCTATAAGGGCATTAATGGGAGCCCTTTCTTTAAGTTACTAAAACGTTACTTTCCACAGTAACGCATTACTTTTTGGTGTAAGTAACTAGTAAAGTAACTGAGTTACTTTTTAAATGAAGTAACTAGTAATGGTAACTAGTTACTGGTTTTCAGTAACTAGCACAACACTGCTCACACCCACACAGTTGATATAAGGATGATTACAATTAAAATCATGAAGCTACCAAACTCAATCTACACAAAATAATTATGAATATGAAAGTTGACACAGTTGTACATTAACAGACATTTATTGAAGATGTCATTTATGTACATTCTGTTCACACCAACAACTCTTGAGAATGTTTTTCACACCTGTAGGTGATGGAGAAACATATCAAATTTGACAAGTTCAACTTCTTTTTTTTCTACTAGATATTTTTTTGATCTATATATTTCTTCTGAAGTAGGCCATTGAACAAGGTGAGAAGATGAGGTCACTTCCCTCTGCCATCTTTGTTAGGTTGAGATTGCCATAGTAAAATATTGTCTTTATTGTTGAGCAATGGGACATTCCCTTGCTCGAAAGAAGGAGTCTCTGGGAAATCTAGTCTTTTGTATTGAGTCTGTTAATACAACTTGCGCGGTTTGGCTTGTAGCTAGCACCGGCTCTTTATGTAAGCTAACGTCAGTTAATGCTAGGTAACGTAGCTACGTGAGTTCATGCTGGCTAACGTCAGTTAAAGGAATGGTATGCTCATGACACTCATTTTTAAATAATTATCATCCGATAAAACAGACCAGTCTCTGCCAGTCTCTCTTTTTTTTTTTTTAATCCGATGACATTATCAGTGATTTTAAACTGATTAATTACCGAAATAACATCAACACTGTGGGCGGCGCCATTTTACCGGACGTGACGTAAACCATGCGTTTGGTTTCGAGGACACGTTGATGTTCATGTTATTTACTGTAGTTACTCTCTTCAAATATGCCTCATTGTATCGCGAAACATTGCCACAATTCTGATAGGAACAATCCACGGAATGCTCGGTTCCATCTGTTGCCAAAAGGTAAGCGTAGGAAGTACGTTCGGAGGCAGTGGCTAGCGAAATGTGGCCGGCCCGAACCGAAAGATCCACAGGCGCATGTATGCAGCGAACATTTCAAGTTTCCGGACGACTACTATGAGTATGATAAAACATAACATGGGATTTATTGAACAACCATTACTTAATGGAGATGCAGTACCATCGGTCTTTCTGGTGTCATCACCGACCAGGACACCAGTTCGGCCAGTTGAGAAATCGCCCTCTGCAAGTGTGAAGCGACGGAGGACCAGAAGTAGTGCTCGGAGTAAGAATAAGGTATGTTATAGCGCATTTCCATTGCAGCGGGTAGCCCCGTTTAAACGTCCTTTATCGTCCAGGCCAGGCCAGTTTTTGGTGTCTTTTCCATATAGCGTAGTACCGGCTAGTGGGTATTTCCCCCCAGTTTTTCCGGCCCCATAAAATCGTGGTTCTAGGGCCAGGGACAACGAGGCTGAGTATGCTAAACTAGAGAGGGAATCGCTAGCAAGGGTGGTACTACATGCATACATATCTAGTAATCACAATCATTGTATCTACTAAGTAGTACTAAGTAGGCTCGAACCTGTATGGCTGAATTCCCCCTTCCAATCTCTTCATATTGCTCAAAACTTCGCCATGTTTTCGTGTGTTTACAAAGTGAACGCATGGATGACGTCACGACCATCACGTGACTACTGAAAATGGGCAAAATGGCAGCGGCCTGACGGAATATACAGGTTTTGATAAAAAAGAGCTATAAAATCATTATTTACCGGGGAATATCGCTGATTTCTTCAGGGTATGGTTTAAACATAATGTTTCACTAAATACTGAAGTTTTGATTAATTATCTAATGAGTGGAGCATTCCTTTAATAATGCTATCTACACGTGGATACTTTGATTGCTATTTTATTTATCTACAAACAGCAAGCTGGATTGATTTGTCTTCCGTATATTGTTCTATATTGTTCTCGCATGGTTACTACTTTTCCATCTTGGATTTAAATTCGTATATGTTTCGCTCTTGTTATTGAACATGTGGTTGTGTTTAAAAGCCTATTGCTGTTTGGTTCACTGTTCATGTGTTTTAAAGTAGAAAACACATCTAAAAGAAATAGCGCAGATTTACAATATACATTTTTTTATTTAACTTGCTAATACCGACGGGCCAGTTGTGTCTGTTATATTTTTCATATAATACGGTAACGGCCGAGTAACGGATTACTCTTTCTCCAGAGTACCGGTGTATCTCGCTGCTCGGGCGGGGTAGCTGCAGTGGGCTGATATGTGTTATACTCGTTCCGGGGCTGGAAGCACCGAGCTCCGTACGCTTTCTGTCCGTGAGACACACACTCGAGTGATGCGCGAACAGCCAGCACCATCCTTTACAAATCCAAAAAGCAGGTGACTTGATCAGCATATGTTCTCCAGGTAAGACATATGTTCCTTTGTATTAATCATTGGTAAACATCGATGGATGCTCAGTAAGCGAGGCTGTAGTGGTCCTCCTCCCAGGCACCGTACGGAGCACGGAGCGGTGCATGGGTGCTGATCTGCCCAGCCTGTGGATTTGTGCTCAGCATCACTGTTAACAACAGGGCGGTGAGCTTTGAGCGAAAACGGTTATTGCTTTAAAAGTCTGCCATTTTATCCAGGCATTATGTATTCCTGATATGTTATAAGATCGTGTTGGACATCTGTACACACCTAATGCTACAATTATCGGTGATTCATACATGCGTATTCAGTCTACGCCTACAATTATCGATTGTAGTTATGTTGCTATAGGCCTTTAGTGTCCCATGAGATGGGAAAGGTCATTAATGTTTTACATCTGCTTAATGGTCCAATTCCTATTCTGCATCGTTTTATTAAACGACACCTCATGTATGCTACTCAGACCTCTCCTTGTGGTGATGGCAAATACAATCCTAGTATCTACTTATTTGTTCTTTAATATTACCTACCCTATACTTGTATAACATTTCAAATATGATTCAGTTCATCTTGTCCATGAACAAATACTGAAGTTGAGAAGAGTGTAAGGTAAGCTACACACTCCTGCATCTACTGTAAGCCCCCCACATCTAGCCTCTGCTGAGAATACAAGTTGTTGAAGTGCTAAACGTTGTGCAATGCTCGTAGGTGTCTAAAGCCTATATTGGGTGGAGGGCTTGTGTGTCCTTTAGTGCCTGCTGTGTACCACTCTGTGCAAGTCCCGGCCACAGGGGAGGGCAGCTGCTGACAGGCGATGTGTCTGGCTCTTCATTGTTCACAGGGAGCAGAGGACAGGCTCACAAGGTCTGCAGTTTTATGTCCTTAGCTTCTGTCCTCCTCCAGTCATGCGGAATCCATTTCAGTGGCCATCTTCCACTTGTATGATGTCTTTGGACTGTCTGACATTTACAGATCAAGTCTTGTTTTGTTGGTTTCTTGCATTACATACGTATTGTCCCTGGAGTTGGCACCACAGTGGAATACACAGTACATGCAAGGCAAGACTTTTGTGTTTATTCGCACATTTAATTTATTTATTTGTTGATGTACTTGTACACTTTCATTCTGATAGAATAAAGTCAAAATTAACATTATTAATAGAAGATTGCTGAGAATAAAAATCCACATTGCAGTATATTTATTCATCTCAATACACCCAATATCATGTAGGCAAAAAAAGGTGTAATCGATTGAATCTTTTTCTCCTTTAAAAATGATCTACTAACCTGAATCTGTAAAACTCTGAAGCAAACAAAGATGTAGAAAGGGGTCTGTGTTGTGGGGAGTAGAGAGAGAGAACAAAGGCTGAGATGCAGCTGAGGTAGAGGATGATGACCTGCCCTAGAGGAGTGTAATGCATGGTTATTAGAGAAACTGAAGGGCCCCTGGAGAGCCATGATGAAAACATATAAGCCATGATGGAAACCTATAAGTTCTTGGAGGATGCATCCAATATTTTGCATTGTGATGTTGAATGTGAGGATGATATGTTTTTATTTTCCTACCTCTTCTGTCTATGTCTTCCTCTGCACTGTCCTGTCTTTGAGTCACCTGATTTGTCTCCAATAGTCAGGGATAGTTTTCTGTATAGCACCTGCACTAAAGGACAAACACCCTCCCTGCAGCCTGCTGGGATCTTATTCCCGCTGCTGGCAGAAGAAGCTAAATTGAACTCTGGGGGAGGAAACTCAATAGTGACGGAGCCTCCAGCAATGCTTCACACATTTTGAAATATAACTATCTGGAAATGTATGATTAAATCAATAACCTTTCAAGAGCATTAATCTAAATGCACTTGTTAAGAGAGTCTTGGCTAAACAAAAAATGTCCTTTAGCTGCCTTAGCGTCGTTGGTGGCAGAGCAACAGGCAAATCATTATTACATAACATCTTTAAAGCTTTTCTCTATAAGCTATGGATTTCTGTATACCAAAAATGAACATTCTCTACTCTGTTCATAACATTAGTGTGGGCGGATACAACACTAGTTTGCCCTTTGACAAAAACAAAAGATAATAGAGATAATAAAACCTACAGGGCTACAGGTAGGTGTTGATTTTCATGTTGCATAAAACTGTTAGAAAGGCAAAAAGGCAATTGAAACGATGATTAAGGATGAGGCTTTTGTGAGATAAGTGGTGCTGCAGTGTTGTTACAGACAACTGTATTGCTGTAGAGGGCTTTGTGTGAGCAATTAGAGGGAGAACATTTCAGTTGAACACAGGATTGAGTATGTAGAGGACAGGCTGTGAACCGCTGCTGCTGTGTTAACTAGAAAACTGGGACATGCTGCTGAGGAATTACAATTGAGAGGGGCTAGGTATATTTCACACTTCAGAGCTTGTTTGTTAATCCGTTAAAAAAAAATGGTGTGGGTGTAAATGTTTACCTTATAGTTACAGAGGAAACTGCTGTGGTGGTGCATATGAATAATATATTTGTATTAATCAAAAGTTGCTTGTTTTTGGGATAATTCAATGAATTATTTTCCTTTTATCAAATATCAGTACATTTTCAAATTACAATTACAATCACCATTTATCCCACAGCCCAAAGTGTTATTGTTAAGTACGTGTTTAATCTTATACAAACATTGAACAAATGTGTTTAGTTACATTTATTTGAGAAAATCCTTACATTTGAGATGCTTAAACCAGTAATTATTTAGCATTTCTCCTTAATACATGACTAACAAAATGTTTTTATAATATCAAAGTTGATTACATTTCTATTGTAGAACTATTCAACTGATGTTTTCAGTTTAAATAAATGCCCAGTTTTGGACTTTATACTCTAGTATCTGCAAAAAGCAAACAGTCTCTAAAACAGGATCAGGCAACATCTTTTGCAATTGTTCTTACGAGTCTACAGCCTCATATATTTTGTTGTTTTTGTTGTGAATGTAGGGTGCATTGCTATGCATCAGAAAATATTCCTAAGAACATCATGGCTGCTGTCATGTTGTCCTTTGAGTTGTTCCATTATTCATTTATCTGTGGAGGACTTATCTCACGATGACATCACCACTACAGTCTCTCTCTGCAGCTCAGCTTCATAAACCAAAACAGAGCTCAACAATATTGTAGACATCCGATACATTTACTGTCATTTATGGATTTAGGTATATTAATTGTAACCGTCACATGTTATTGTACAATTCCTTCTAAGCTCTCACATCCCCTTAAATGATTATTTAATGATATTAACCTGATTGATAATCTCCCTGTCTGTGTTGACTGTGTCTAAATGCAGATGGGAAAACTCTTAAAATGTTCCACTTTTAAAATATCACATCCAGACGAGTGTGCTGCCTTGTCAGGGGTATTCTCCCTTTGTAGTTTCATGTGGAAGTCAGCCATATCAAGCTCAGTTCAAAATAAAACCTAGGCAGAAGTGGAACTGAGGAACAGCAGAGTGCGGGCTGACAGGTGTCTGTGTTGACATTCCCATTATTATGGAATAAGGGGAATGCAGAGACAGGCTACAAGTGTTTTAGGTTCAAGTTAGACAACTAATGTCTGGGTTAGTGTTCATGACTTCATGTTTATGTAATCTTAATGGTTAATCTCAATACACACACATTTTCCATGCTTTCCAATAGTTTAAAAATAGTTTCATTCCACTGTTAAATAACCTGTTCAATACAAACATGCCACTTGTACAAATTAAATAACATTTCTGTGAACTGATATTTATTTAGTGAGCTTATTAGAGGATGTTCCCTGAAAGATTGTAAAATGTCAATGAAGATGTCAGACTTAGTATATTTGTTAATAATTACATACAACACATGGAATTTTTGTGTGTGTGTGTTCCAAGTGAATCTGCGGCCCCCTGGTGGCCAGTGCATCAATTATGTGGCCCCCACCACCATCAAAGTTGCCCATCCCTGCTTTAGGGTGTAAGAAAGTCAGAACAAAACTCTTTCCATATTACAACCAAAATGATAACTGAAACGAGACAACACACTACTTAAATACAAATATATAATAATCTCAGTTTTAACTAATTCAATCCAATCACTTGGTGGTTCGCTCCGGGCTCAAAGAAAATTCTGGTTTCCAAAATATTTTTGAGATATTTAAATTTGGGTCACAAATGAACAATTCAAGTGTATTCTCTCTTCTCTCTGTGTCATGCAACCCAATGGGGTAATGTAATTCTTATAGTTTTGGTGCCAAAACTATTTCACATGTAAGTAATACATTCAGTGTTTTAAATGAACTGTTTTTAATCTCTTTTCAAATACTTATTATTGAAGCAAAGAAGATAAACATCATAATATACTGTATTTCTAACTTTATTTGTTGTTGTACTGTATGTCCCATGTGGAAATATGTAACCCTACTAAGATATGAAGAACGTGTTCCTTCCTGCCAGTTACTTAAATCTATGAATAATGAGTCTGGGAATATTCTAGTTTAAACTGCACATTTTCTGAATGCAGAGGTCTCTAGAATCAATGAGTTGATGCGTGCACATCATTTCACCCCTTTTTATGGCATTAGCATGTAAATGAGTCCAAATCAGTTTCAAAGTGTGTGACTAATTCAGGTCGCATTGGGGGGGAAAATGGCTAAGAAAGAAAGTGAGAGAAGGAAATAACTTCTTCCACGGTGCTTGGTGAAAGAGGAACCCATTCATAGCTGCATTAATCATGGGTGGTACTAAAATAATCTCTCTGAGGCGACACCCAGAAAGAGAGAGGCATTGAAATAGTTTAATTTGTTAACTGGATCTGTCTGAATCCGTCTGCTTTCCCTTGACCTCTAATCTAGTTTTTAAGTTGGATTGAGTTCTTAAACTAGGGATGCTAGGTTTGTAAAATTCTACGCATACATATATTTGAAATGACAACTAGGCCAATAGCGACGTTTTTGTTGTTATTTTTGTATTCCCCTTTTTCAGCTATTCTTAAAAACTCCCTCTACTATT